AGCAAACACTTGCCAACCAGTTGGGTAATTTCCCCCTTGCGACTTGTTGTTATCAGGTGGTTGCTGATTGACTTCTGGGCCTGTGTGACTGGGACCGTAGCCACGGGGAGAAGATAATGACTAGTAAACATGCTATTCTAGTGAAAGCTAACATGTTTGAAGATCAAGGGCATACTGTAATTATGCCATGATGATATAGTTATATGATATAGTTTTTTTTTGTTTTTTTTTTTTAACCAGTGCAGGGGAAAAAATGGGTAAAAAACAAATGCCTTATACATTGGATTAGTTTTAGGTCATTAGATTAAGTCTTTGCTTTCATATAACACATCATATTTGATCTCCATAGGCAGTGATTTAAATAACAGTATCTGAGACATTAGAAAGGCAATATGTTGAAAAGATTTCAACACTGAAAATGTGGAAAAAAAAAAAGTTGCTGAATCTGTTCAAACACATTTTTTGTTTCCAGAAAGGTTAAAATGTATTGTTATCCTTCATTGATATAGATGTTTGTGATGTTAAAAGCAGAATATTTACTTACAGTAGTGGAGTAGATACCTCCCTACATTTATTGTTTGAACTTACATGTGACATACCAGCATTCAATTCAGAAAAATGTGACATTTTATACAACTTCAGCAGCTGTACGTGGGCGTATAAAAGCAAAACAAAAGCCTTGGGCTCAGATGCAACAAAAAGCGTTCTTGTGGGAGAATAACCTTTGTAGCATAGCATGCTTCAATATGAAGTCTTGATGGAGCAAAAAAGCATTCATTAGGAAGTCAAACAGATATATATGGAATATAAAATGATAAGCCTGATTTATAATGAGCCTCTGTGTTGAATAATGTAGGGGACACTTCTCTGCATCAGTACGCCTTACTTCCCTCATGCTACAGCCGCTGCAATCAAAAAATGAACTTGCGCACCATCTGCATTAGCATATTGTTATTAAAACATAGGGATAATTTATGAACCTAAATATACAATTAATGATAATCAATGTAGATTTTTTTAGCGTGACGAGTGGCCTGGTGATCCACTAATAGGTTTAGCTCACTCAGTAACCAAGTTATAAATTATTCTGTCAAAGCCGTGCACAGGCTTCTGTTTACAACCTACATATTCACTGACCTTTTCTGGTGCGGATTCGATGCGCCTGATCAATTCAATATTGTTCCACAAAAAGGGTTATTAAAATTTCATCCCCAAATGCGTGGTGTGAGCACTGCTGTAATGCAAAAGATTAATCTGCTGGAGTTAAGTTGGCGTTAGGCTAATGTGAGTCGCTCTAAAATGATTCACATTAGAGTGGGCCTCAGGGGCCGGCATTGCAGCTCTTCTTGATGCAGAAAGGAAAATTAATTAAAAACAATAATCGTGTAATTCTGCTCATTACTTTTGCCCAGGCTGTAACTTCTTTATCCCACTGTGTCTTTTTGATGTGTGTCAGATAGTCAGGTGCTTGCTCAAGGGGACTACTGCACGGTTGCATCAGGCAGGTGTCATGGGCAACGCAAGGAGCAACAGAAGGGAAGCCTGTATAAAAGATTCCTGTGCATCTGGGTCGAAGTAGAACTTGATAACTCACTCTGACAGACAGTGGTATCTAGGACAGAAGACCACTCTATACCTCTTCGTTTTCCATTTCTTTTTGCTTCTTCACTTCCTCTCTCTCAAGTCCCTGGACCATGCCAAGTCAGTTTGACTAAGAACATTAGGGTGTCACAGCTTGGGATTTGGCGTTTGCAATTCTATTAGAGCGTCGACTCTAAAGGCAAACGTCTTCCATTCCCTCTACCTCTCCTCCTGGCGTCGCCTCTGCCAGCCAACAGATGCAGGTTTTTACATATCAAAGCTGTTGACTTGCCAGAGTCATTTCTTCACGCCTCTAATGCTCTTTGCTTCAGAGGACTGTACCTCGGTCCCTTGATCAAGTTACTAAACGCGGCTTTGCACATGGCTCACCACCAAAGGCGGGTGGCTCACGCTGGGACCTGGAAATGCAGGCGAGAAAAGCATCTCAGAGGGATTGGCTTGTGCTTACACACCATGAGACAGGCCAAGTGAAAGAAGGGAGGGGGCATACCGACAGGCGTATGGAGGAAACAACAAAAGCCGGGCCAGACCGTGTTAATAAAGTAAATTCTTAAGTGGAGAAAGACGATCAAAGGTCCATGTATTTGGCAAATGCAATCCACAGCGTGCACTGAGGTGTACACAGGATGGACGCGTTTCCCCAATATGCTCAAAGTGTGTCAAAGCAATCCAACAGTTCAAATGCAGATTGTTTGTGCTTTTTAAACTTAGGCTTTGATGCCAACTATTAATAAGTAAAAAGACTGACAAACAGAACTAGCTCTGAAGCAGGAACATGGCCGATTGATTTATCAATACCGAAGCCCTAATAAGTCTCTTCATTATGTGTTCTCCTTTGAAAATGGAGAACAGATGAAAGTGTTGTATGACATCAAGAACTGTAGCATCAGAGAGGTACTTTATTAAAATAATACTAGATAATGAGAGATAATTGCATTCTCAGAATAAATTGTGTTGAAAGGAACAGATAGAATTATCTGGAGTGAATTGATGCGCTTCACTGCGAGTCTCATACTGCGTGTGTCGATGACGCAACTCCATGCCAAGGCAAATCCATGTTTGAGAAGGAGTAGATTTAAAGGCATGCGTGTCTTTAAGCTGAGGTCTCGGAGTCTCGGTTTCCCCCTCCTTGCCTCTTGAGGCATGTCTTCTCCATCTGAGTGTCCCTAACAACAGTCACTCTCTGCAAGTGACCCTTCTGCCACAGTTGCACATACAGAGGGGAGAAAGCAGCAGCAGCTTGTGATAAGAGATGACCTTTCATGGCTGGATGTCAGAGGTGAGAAATACTGCCTGAAAGCATGTGTGATACTGACCTCGACTCTGAGATGGGGTCATTCAGAGGTTATAGAACTTCCGCTTGTTATGTTAAAAATATTGGCAAAGCTTTTAATGTATTTTTTAACATCTTTAACTTTATCATATTGGACTTAACTGGGGCCTACTCTAGAACCCTGGGTCTTGCCTTGAGATCATCGGTCATCGCAGACAGCTGGCGAGTTACTGATTCAGTGCAGTGAAACGTCTCTTTTACCTGTTCTGTTCTTAATTTTAGGCCTTACTCATACATGTGTATATTGTCAACCATGTGGTTAGTGAGCATTCCTGGAGGTTGCTGACTGTAGCTAGGGATGGGTACCGGTATCCGGTTCTGACATAAACGGTAGTAACCAGACCGAAAAGCAGCGCACATTTCGGTGCTTTATTTCAGTGCTGAGATGTCATACACTTTGAATTCTAGCCAATCATTTTACCTTATTACCTTACCTTACCTTATTATTATTATTGGCAAAAAGACTAACCCAACTTAAACAGATCAAATTTAAATGTGTCAGAGCTTTTAAGTAGTTACTGATTTGCGGATGAAGTTGTAACATTTGAATGTGAAGCAAAAGCAGAAAGAATTAATTCTGTCATGTTGACCAGAAAGCTTCAGCTTATTTGCCATAAGCTGATTTCTGGTGAGAGGGAAAAGCTGCATTATCCATTTTTGAACTATTAATAAATGAATAACAAATAAATAAAATACCTGGCTTTGCTTGTTGAATTTTGGATTCAACTATTTATTTGGTTCCAAAACACTGCCCTTGCGTGAGACAGCAGATCCAGTGAATGCTGCTAATTAATAAAAAGCATCTTAGAGTTTAAATCCGTTGTTTACTTTTCGGTGTCAGACTTAGGTTTGTAGGGAAGCCACTAACCTTTGATACGAGCTGTCATTGCTGCATAATCTTTATCAATTCAGCCCCAAATTTAAGACAGTCTTCTTCAAAGCGCATCAAAACTTCATTAACTCTCTTAATATAGACAAGGCTGTAACAGCTAAGCTGAAATGTGAACGCCACAGAGAAAGTACAATAAAACTCTTAAAGAACTGAGGGTAAAGTGTGGCGCTAAGAAAACAGCAGCTGAACTTCCTCTTCAAGCAAAATATCAGTAGTTGCTTGTGTAAACTTCTGTAGTTTTCTCTTTGGCAGGTCCAGTGTTGACAATACTTGATATATGCACCAAATTCAGTGTAATATATTTCACAATGTGCTTTAAAACAGCTGTGTTGCTGCTCAGGTTCCTTTTAGGTAAAGGAGTGAATGCATTATTTGAAACAGAAGAATGTATGGATTAACTAAGTGGGCCATGGAGAAAACAATGGAAGCCATGAGAGTTTATCCATTTCCTATGATAACTTGCCAGCGACTGGTAAGCACCCAGCATGGATGGCTTTCATTTCCTTCTTATCCATCTTCCCCTCTTTCTTTGGTGGAGAAAAACCTCCCCGAATCTTCAGTGAGTGACACTTCTTTCAATTCCTGGTGCTCATCCAAAATATTCCATTTGGATGTCCATAAATGAAGATGAAATGAATACCAGTGGGAACAAATTAGCCGGTCACTAATCAGCTCTTAAGCTAATGCTAAATGTCATGTGTTAAAGGAGGGTAAAGGGGTGTCAATGAATGGTGGTGGCACACAGTCTTCAGGTCATCACACAAACACACATCCAGGCCCTTTCAAATGGGGGCATCAGCATCAAGAGCTTTGTGTCTCAGTAAATATTAGTTCTGCTCAGCTCGCACTCAGCAGATAAAGTCCTCAGTGTGGGAGGCGGGGTCAGAGCAGTTTCCTCTTAGACCTGACGGAGGGTACCAGGGGACTAGACTAATTTTACAGCCTTCAGAAAGAAATTGGATGGGTGCAAATGAAAAGAAATGGGTGAATGTTCAATTCTGGTCACACTGGACTAGAATAATTACACGGTATACAAAAGAAAATACATCACAATAACAAATGGTGCACCACATGTACAAACACATTATTTCACTGCTACAAGTTATACCACAAAAATGCATTTCCCCACAAATCTAGACACATATAGAAAATACCCACAGTCTGTCAACTCACATTGTACAATCAGCTCCACTATGGCCTCCCGGGGCTTCACGTTGAACCCATTATACTGGCTGGTCTGGCAGCGGTACGAGCCCGTCATCTCCCTGGACACATTAACAATACGCAGCACGCCGTCGTAGCTCTCCATCTGCATGCTGCCGTCTGGCATGGGCGCTTCCTTATCCGCTCGCGACCACAGGATGATCGGCTTGGGCTTCCCTGAAACAAGGCACTCCAGCTCCACTGTGTCACCCTCGCGGGCCACCAGGGGAGACTTGCCCCGTGGGACTGTCAGGTTGGGGGGAACTAAGAAAGAGAAAAACAAAGGAGGGACTGATATGGGGCTCTAGAAAGTCAGCAGGCGGGGTAAGAGGAAATAGTCAACTTGGGGAAAGTTGTGGCGAAAAAGGTATGGAGGGGGAAGCGAATGAGCATCCAAAGTTGCGATGGCAATGAAGCGGCATCTCAGCAACATACACAGCTTTTATGGAAGCACCATGCGGATATTAGCAACAGTAATGTCTAACGGCTGGGACTAGACAGTCTGAACATGTACTCTACGCAAAACCACCACGAAGGACAGCAGTGAGAAGGTTTAATGCTATCAAGCAATGGCAAACAATGAACAATGCAATGAGCGGACAAGCAAATTCTAAATAGTTAATGACAGCCTTTATTAGCTAAACAAGTCCAGGTACTAAAAAGACTAAGGAATGTAGACCATGCAGTAAACTACAGAGTAAGAGTTCTGTTCGCACATCCACTCTGAATGCATGAAGATCAGGCAGATTAGGCCTCACAAGGGATTACGGTAGTCCAGTGAAATCTAAGACATAGTTCACAATCAGCGCAGCAACCGATGTTCAACTGGATTGAATAAAACAGTTACAAAATAAACATGCAGAGGAGAAAAGTAAGACATGATATTTATATATATATGTATATAAAACAAAAGCAAACCAGCAGTTCAACAGTTTGTAAAGCACTCCTGTTGCCTTTGATGCCAGGAGTTAGATTGATTCCAAGCTTGTGTTTATACATGATTGTGGGTCATTGTAAATCACAAAACCGAGAGAAGAGATTTCCTTGTAACTACAAAGTCTTGATCTTCATATGAGCTATCCTTACACTTCTAATACACTCTCAGCAGTAGCAGCACTGGCATTACAATCAACAGCCAAACAGCATTGTTACTTTCACTGTCACATTTTCATCATCTCCTCACTTTCCCATCACAAAACTATTTTTCTGAGACGTTTTCCACAGCTAAAATCATTTTAACATTCATAGTTGCATCATCGCAATCAATCGTCACAGCTTTTTACTTCCCTACCCTCCTCCTATCCTTGTCGTGCAACCACTCAGTCTCAATCTAGCACCCCATAATTTAGAGCATTTACAAGAGAACCCTCCCAAAGGTGATGCAGCACTGAGCCTGGCCATGTAACAAAAATATGACCCAATAAATAGATACCTGCCTTTTTTACAACAGGTATTTTAGAGTCTGGGTGAGTGCAAACAATTAATAATAAAAAAGAGGAAGAAGAAGATTTGCAGATATCCTTGAGTGTGTTTATGTGTGCATCTGTCTTTTCTAAGTGTGGAAGGCAGGAAATCTAGCAGGTTGGATCAAATAGTCTGGTTCCTCACCAAGCATGCTGGCCAAGTAAATTTGTTTAATTAGTAAACCTGGCAAATTGCACCGGCTCCTAGAGTGCTGTGTATGTGTATAAGTGTGTTCATATGCGAGTCCAAATCATCAACAGACTCCAGCTCTGTTTTGTAGCACTGTTCCCAAAAATAGTTTACAGCCAGCAATTTGAGGAGTGAAAATCTTCTCAGCAATGATGAAACCGTGTCGTGCTTCCCTGATGATTTTCGAATCACTGTCATTCTGCCCAAACAATGCTGCAGCTGGAATGGAGTCAAGCCACATTGGAGTTTCACAGTGATGAAATCACCAGCAATCTCACGAAAACGAAACAGAGTCCAGCTATATTTCTTTGAACCCCATTTTTTGTGTGGGTAAGAGGTGAGAATCCTGCAGACGTTTCACTGCTCCAGCTCCAGGTCAGATTCCTTTTGTCCTCCCCCCAGAGTCTTGGATAAATTATCACACTGTCAGAAACAAGGCAATCTCACGATCCTCAAGTATTAGGTTGTGCCTTTTAAAGACTCTGTGGCACTCTAAAATTAGCTCATTGTTGATAGCTCGGCAATTATGACCAAGAATTGAATAAATGCTGTAAACAGGGCATGCTGTCAGACAATCTTATTCGTGGATTTTTTTTCTTTTAAGAATGAGAACAAAGCTGCAATTATTAATTGATTTAAAAACTGGAACTAAACAATATTTAGTCTAATCTAGTCTAGTCAATGTTTGGAGTAATGTGATAAACATGCTAGCAAATGCGTGTCCACTTCCATGAGGCACGGAGAAATAAATGGGCTACAGAATCAAAACAATGAGCTGAAAAATACTAAAAAATACTAACATTCTGTAGAGTTGGATGATAATTCTCTATGATAACATCACAGTACTTTCATTTTCTGTCATTCCAATAACATCTATTACTACAGTATCTGGATAACAGGTTTTGATTACTGTAATACAAGAAATGAAAAGCTATTACCTAACTCCGCACATAAACCAGATCATGAGCCAGTGAATACCAAAAAAAAACATGCTGGTGTGATTTGCATGAAATAATGAAGTCTGGTCATTCATAGATAAAATACTGGCATTGTGTTTGGCACTACAGAAAAAAAAGGCCCTCCACAGAGCCAGTGATGGCGGACTCTCATTTCATCCTTGCACATTTGCTGATTTTTTTTATTCACACAATGTCTCAATTTTAACAGCAAAGGTTCAAATCCACTTTACTATTCAGAGCATTTCCTTGGGTTAAAACAATGAAGTAGTGAGTTTGAAAGAACAGGAGAGGAGCAGCAAGCATCCATTAGAGTGTGGAGGAGAGGTTTATTCACCGAGTTGCCATCATTACACCTGGCCTCTCCACTGCCTAGATTAGGCAGGCAATTACAGTTTGTCTACCTGTTGGGTTTGGCAGCACAAATACTGGCTATCAGCTGCCATTGTCTCTCCTCACACCACAATGAAAAAAAAAAACAGACAGGCATACATGCACTCAGAAACTCGCACATCCTTCTCTCTTGCTTACTCTGTACATTACTCTTCCTCTTGCTCTCTTTTTTCCAAGTGAACACCCTGCCTCAGTGTTTGAGTCTGACCACTGCGATGCTCAGTGTGGAAGGGAGCCTGCTACTGGTTTTCACTGTGCTCTCATTGTGCCAGAGCCATCCAAATGCCAGTGATGCCTGCAAGGCATGCCCGCTGTGTGCGTACGTCTTTGCAGTGCGCGTGCGTCCGCGCGGTTAATGTCTCTGCACGTGCACATGTGCACGTATCGCTCACTGCTTCTCTCCTCGCCCACGGGTGACACCATGCTGTGATCCTGCCTCAGTTCCTCAATGAGATGCGATGCTTCTTCTCTTTGCTACTGAGCAAAAACACTGTGCGTATGTATCTGTAGGTTTATGGGTTAAATCAAGGTGGGACCTTCTAGTCTGGCCTCAGCACTGCGCTGGAACGATCCTTCAAATGTCGCTTTTAATTATGATCCATCAGCACCGCAGCAGACGCAGAACAACATGAGCTAACTGCAAAAAGGTAGAAATAACTCGCACTTTGAATTTTCTTACAGCGACAGGATCCAGAGTGATGTTTTAGAGAATAAACATTCCCACTGCCCCCTTTTTTCGGGTAAGTGCTATGACATCACTCCTCATCACCATGGCAACATAGTGCTCTCGACTAAACCAGGTCCTGCAGTGTGTGTGCGTGTGTGTGTGTGTGTGTGTGTGTATGCATGCATGCATGAGACTGTGTGCTCAGACAGCTTGAGGCCAATGAGTTGGTCACAATGTGACAGGACTCTGTTCCTCAGAGTCCTGATCCTCTGGGGACAGAGTGAAGAGTCCCATAGGTGCACTGTGGACATGTTTTTGAATCTGTGTGTTTCTGTGTGTCTGTTTTGGGGGAGGCTGTATCTACACCCTGAGTCGCTGAAGTGCAATAAATATACACAGATGTGTTAAATTTGGAAGAGTGCACCCACAGACTGCTGTGACACAGCAGTGACAAGACTGACATAACAATGTGTGCGCGTTTGTGTGTGTGTGTGTGTTTTGAGCTCTGTGTCATTCCCCTGAGATTTCATAACCTACAATCAATCTCAAAAACTCTTCACATGGATCAGACTGTAGCACAGCAGATTTTATACCAGTGCCTTCTTTTTTTTTTGTTTAACCAACAAAACAGAATAAAAGAAATGTCCAGTCTAAAAACAAATGCATGCAACCACTTTTCTACTGCTAAGCAGGGAACAACTCCCATGGATGGCCCACAGTTTATGTAAATTGCTCAAGGGGCCTTCACAGTAGTTAATGAGGGAGGGAGAGTGTTTCTTATTCATGTTTCTCAGATTTTCCCAGCTGCACGGGGAGGTGATTTCCCAGATGGTCACCTCCATAAAGCATGACTGCAGGTGTTGCGGTGGAGGCTATAGGCAGGTACACTGAACACAAATGCAGCAAGTTATCTCATCTTATTCAAATATGTTGTACTCTGAAAACAATCTGAGCTATGGATACACCCCTGCTATCCAACATCTCCAAACATCCACATAAGCGTGTTTATTAACAAACTGAAGTTTTTATTTGCGCTGACACTTTGGGCACCGGTAATCTACCACAGGAACATCACAGGTGCTGTGCTGACATATTGCGCCCAGCGCCATTGTAGAAGTGGCATCTATTGTTGTCATATGGTGGATTTCTCAGGACAGTGTCCCAGCTGTGGGACAGCTGGTAAGCCCCTTCATCGCAGTTCATCGTTCACTGTTAGTCTATTGGGTCGTTCGTCCAGTTTTGGGAATTGGTTCCTGTGTGCAGTTTATAATTTCATTTTCAAACCTTGAATTAATGAATTTTCGATTTTAGATGTGACTGCTCTACAAGACCAAAGACAAACTTGTTATTCAGGCCATTTGCTCAGTTGGAAAGATTTCTATCTGTCACGTGACATTGCCTCAGCATACTGAAGGTGATGGAGCTGGGATCTGCATTAAAATGATATATGCAATTTAGATCTTTAATGAAAAAAATACAACCAAATAACTAACTGCCCTCTAAGGATTTAGGGATGTAAATAAATGGTCAACTCAGCAGAAAATGAAAGTACTGTTCAATTTCGTTCCACCTCATGTTAACATGTGATGCGAATGACAAATAAAGCTCCTTGAATCCTTGAA